CTGCACAGTCTAAAGTTCAACTTGTGTCCCGTGGCTGCTCCCAAATTTGCCTCATTTGAATGTCTTGTTCTGAGTGTCTCTACGCCCCTTCCGACTGCAGTGGCTACAGTCTACAAGCCTCCTAAGACTAATAAAGACTTTCTATCTGAATTATCAGATATGTTGTCTTTTCTCTTCCTCAGATTTGAAAGAATTCTTTTACTGGGGGATTTCAACATTCATATGGACATAAAAGACTCCGCAATAACAAAAGACTTTCTGTCCATATTGGAGTGCTTTGAATTAGACCAACTAGTAGACTGTCCTACGCATGACAAAGGCCACACCTTAGACCTTGTGATTTCCAGTGGTTCATTTGTGACTCAGTTAACTACCACTGATTTAGGTCTGTCTGATCACCGGGCTGTCATTTTTAATTTGGAAATACCTGTCATGTATACAAACACTTCACGCATTATAAATTATAGGAATTGGAGATCTATTGAGCCCTCTGATTTTTCTGACTTTATTGACTCTCTTTTAAACTGTGACTCTCTATCTGATGATCTGGATGACAATGTTTCAATGCTGAATTCTGTACTGTTGTCTGGCCTGGATACGCTGGCTCCCTGGAAATCACGATCTGTTTCTTTTGCACGCTCTGCTCCTTGGTACAATGATGATCTGCGTGCCATGAAGACTTTGTGTCGCAAAATGGAGCGTAGATGGCGCACCTCAGGTTTAGCTGTTCATCACCAGGCCTGGAAAGACAGCTTATTCAAATATAAGTCTGAAATTGTGTCAGCAAGATCTGTTTATCTTTCTCATATAATTCTCAGCAATCAGAGAAACCCCAAAAAACTGTTTCACTCAATTAACAAGCTGCTTAAAAATCACAGCGTCTCTAATGTTCCTGCTTCAACTCACCTTTGTAATATGTTTTTGGAGTTTTTTAGCACCAAAATTGACAATATTCGAAACCACATTGTTGCCACTCATACCATTGCTGCCTCCTCTTCAGATACATTTGCATTTTCTGGTGTCTCGCTCTCTAATTTTGCAATTCATGATTCCCAGTCTCTGTGTAATACGGTTTCAAAACTGAAAGCCTCAACTTCTAGAGTTGATCCTATACCAGCTTGCCTTTTTAAATCATGTTTTGATTCCCTCTCTCCCTTTGTTTTGAGAATTATCAATAACTCCCTGTGCACTGGTGTTGTGCCAGCTGCACTTAAAACTGCTGCTGTCACCCCTGTACCAAAAACTAACAACACGGACTTTGATAATCTGAATAATTTTCGACCCATCTCTAATCTTCCATTCCTCGCCAAAATTTTAGAACAAACAGTGGCTTCTCAACTACTGTCTCATCTTTCTGCTAATGATCTTTTTGAGCCACTTCAGTCTGGATTTCGGAAACTGCACAGCACTGAGACAGCACTGGTCAAAGTGACTAATGATTTGTTAATGGCATCTGATTCTGGCCGTCTATCTATACTGATTCTTCTTGATCTTAGTGCCGCTTTTGACACTATAGATCATTCGATTTTAATCAATCGCTTAGAGACCATTTTTGGAGTTTCTGATTCTGCATTAAATTGGTTTAAGTCCTATCTCTCTGATCGCAAGCAGTTTGTTGTGATGGGTGATTACAAGTCCGAGGTCGGTGTGGTGCGCTCTGGTGTTCCCCAGGGATCAGTTTTGGGCCCGTTACTTTTTAGTATTTACATTTTTCCATTTGGGCAACTTTTAAGAACTCTTGGTCTTAATTTTCACTTTTATGCCGATGACACTCAGATCTATTTACATTCAAAACCTGATATCAATATGCCTGTGTCTTATATTTCTCAGTGTTTTACTGAGATTAGGAAATGGATGTCTGAAAACTTTCTCTGTCTGAACAGTGATAAGACTGAAGTGATGCTTATTGGTTCACCTCATCAGTTGCGTAAAGCAGAGTCCATAACTTTAAGTATGGATGGCTCAGCTTTGAAATTACAAACTAAACTAAAAAATCTGGGGGTAATATTTGACGCCAATTTAACATTTGACCATCATGTTCGTAACACAGTCAAAACATCATTTTTTCATCTCAGAAACATTGCCAAATTACGTTCTTTGTTGACATTCTCTGTGGCTGAAAAGTTAATCAATACTTTTGTTTTTTCAAGAATTGATTATTGTAATGCTTTGCTGGCTGGGGTTTCTAAAGCTACCCTAAGTAAATTACAGTTGGTTCAAAATTCGGCTGCTAGAATTCTGACTGGGACCAGTGCAAGGGAACACATTACACCAATCCTGGAAAAATTGCACTGGCTTCCAGTCAGTTTTCGTATTGATTTTAAAATTCTCATGCTCACTTATAAGGCCCTGAATAACTTGGCCCCTCAATATTTGCGTGAGCTCTTAACCCCCTACTCTCCTACACGTGCTTTGCGATCTTCTGAAGCTGGTCTTTTAACCGTCCAAACAACACGGCTAAAAACTATGGGTGATCGGGCTTTTTCTTCTTTAGCTCCAAAATTGTGGAATTCCCTGCCCTCTGAGATTAGAAATGCAGAATCACTTAGAGTTTTTAAATCCTCCCTTAAAACGTACTTTTTTAGGGTGGCTTTTATGTGACTGTGTGATCACTGTGATTGTTATTTTATTTGCCTTTTATTTTATTGCTTGTTTAGTTCTTATTGCCTAGACTGTTGTGTCTGTCTAATTCCATTATTTTTTATGTAAAGTGCTTTGAGATACTACTTTTAAAGGCACTATATAAAATAAAGTTTTATTATTATTATTATTATATCCTATTCATTGTTGTGCTGGTTCAATTCTCTGAGTGTGAAAAATAAAAATCGAATTGAGAGGATAGTAAATCAAGGAAATAAAATAACGAGGAGGAAGCAGATGACCATGGCTCAGTTATATCAGAGACAGGCTTTGGGTAAAGCACAGAACATTCTGTCTGAAGTTTCTCACCCCCTCTACTATGAGTTCGAACTTCTTCCGTCTGGTAGTAGTCAGTATAGAATGCCGATTAGTAAAACGAATCGTTTTAAAAATTCATTTGTTCCATCAGCTGTAAAGTTTTTAAATTCTATGTAAATGTATTTATTTGTGAATGTGTATGAAAGTGTTTTTATGTGTAAGCCTGTTTTGCTTCAACCAAATTGCCTTCGGGAAATGAATAAAAATGAACTGAACTGAACTGAATCTCGAGTTTATTTAAATGCATTTTAGTAACCCTTGACATTTATGTATTTTAATTACACATATTGTAATTGCAACTGCAGTCTGCCTTGTGCATAATAATTTATGTATGCTTGTTTTAAAGTAAATCAAATGCTAAACATGTGACCGCAAATACATTTATCCTGTTCCGTGAACACTCGTAAATTCCTTCTCTCATAAACACACAAACAGATAAGCATAAATACATCTGCACACAAACATTTCTGTCTGTTCACACTGTGAGCTGTGGGTGTCCTCAGCATCATTCTGGAACCGATATCACATGTTCGACCTCAACCAAACAACATAGTGGGGGCCAACATTGGGTTTTCAGTACAAAATACATTCTGAAGGACATGCATTCAGTAAGTCTCCTTTTCAAGTTCTGATTAAGTGTTTCAACATTGTTTAAAATCTGAGAATCAGCTCGAGTTGTGTGTTTGAATGAATTGGTTTGTTTGCGTTTTGATTTTTTTTTTTCCAGCAGATGTATTGAGAAATTTATGACTCAATTTAAACTTCAAGCTATGAGCGCAGTATCACATCCAAAAATAGATTTTTTTTTTCTTTCTGAGAGGTGTGCAGTAGCTTGTATAAAGCACATCGAGATGCTTGTATTTCCTAAAATGCACAATGTTCCCATAAAATCTCTGACATAAACACAAACATGGATGTCAGGATAAATTACGTTTGCAGAAACAGCAATGTCCCTCATTGTGCTGCCAAATAAACTTCATTCTGTAGGGTGGAACCTCATTTTCAAATCAATATGTTTACAGCTCGATAATGAGAATAGATTGTTTTGCACATCCGTTCCTGTGATTTGAAAAGAAATTGAGAGCAGAGCTGCTCATATCCTTTATGAATTATTCAGCATGGATATCCCTGTCAAACTCACCTGTTATTTCCGGGCCAGAGGATGAGCAGACACAGTGACATGCTAGTGTGGGTTATTAGCGCCAGTGTGTGTGTTCTGTTCCAGCCGAACTGTCCATCGTATTTGTGGAGTAGAAGATTAATAGATCGTGTGCTTGTTTTATCTTGCTGAACAGCGGACAGGAGGGTGAATGGAGAAACAAATTCAACCATGTATTGATAGACAAAGGACTGATAGGGAAACAGAGGCAATATTGTACTGTTAAAAAGTTTCACATAGTGAAAAAAATTCAGATTTAGTGTTATACAATGAATCAGTTGTAACTGATTCAATGACTCACTCGTAAATACTTGTTGAATCAGAAAAAATCATTGAAAATAATACCCAGTGTATTATTAGATTAGATTATAGATTATAAAAGCCCTGCAACCTGCAAGATTGTTTTATTTAAATGGGGACATCTGCAGGCTTCAATCATTTGTCAGTGAGAAAGCAAGAAATATGTGCTGTCAAATCTGAAGGCAATTTGTGTTGAGACGAAAGAACGAGAGAATGTGGGAGTGTTTGTAAATGTCACACTTTCAGCAAGGATCGACATCATCCAGTCATCAAGCATAAGGTGTAGCAAATCATTAAACCTATTAATGGAGAACGGTTCTAGGATTGTATTGTGTGTAAGAAGCTCAGCACTTGAATTTCTGCACAGGAAAAATTGATAAGTGGCGCTTAGTATTTATTTCACTTTGTCATGTCACTATTCTTCATTTAAAATATGTTTTTCTTATTTTATAATATATACTGTATATATGTAGGCCTATTTAATATAAATGTTTAAAAAAATACATATTTAAAAGTCACATATCGCAGACATGACCCCATACTGTAAATCTATGAGGTTAATTGGTTTTCTTTTCTTTCCTAGCTCGCACTTTGATCCTATGGAACCAGACGTCTAGTCCCACCAACTCTACAGGTCAGTTTACACCTCTGTTTTTTTACAATCTCTAAACGGAAACAGAAATATGGTGTTACAGCCAGTGGGCATAACTGTGATTTTCCCTAGAAAATATTTAGTGTAGGCTTTGAGCATGTGAAATAACTTCAGACGCTGCAATAAATTTGGCCATGAAATCATGCACTAGCGATTCTGTTTTTAATAATATATTACAAATAGTTCATTCAGATTTTGAAAGGTGAAAGGTATGTAATGTGTGTGGCTATAGCATAACCAGACAGAAGTGTAAAAATAAAATAACCTGCTTTAAAACAGGTTCAGGTTCTAACACAATCTATGTACAGTATGTAACATAAGTATGGCTAAAAATCTCTCATTTAACTGAATGTTGACAAAGCGGTTTCTATGTTTTTCACAAACCGTTGTAAGCTCTCGTTATGTAAAATTGAACCAAAAATCTTTTTTTTTGAGGGTCACGAAATTAAAAGGGTTAAACAAATTAAATATTTAGGAGTCATTCTAGACCCAAATCTAAATTTCAAAAAACATATTAAAAAGATTACCAACACGTTGAACATTTTTACACATTTTAGATATATTGGTAACTCTTTGACCATAGCTGCATCTAATTTACAGTATATCTAAATGCTATGATAATTCCACACTTTCGATACTGCATGACAAGGTGGTCACGGGCATGTGAAACAGCATAAAAGCCCCCTGGAATCTTTGTATAAAACTTCTCTTAAGGTTTATGACAAGAAATCATCATTGTCATATTCTTAAAAAAATTATCATATTCAAATATCTGTCTTTTGTTTAAGATCATAAATGGTACTGCAGCCCCTCCGTTAAAAAAGTTTATCTCACTGAGCTCAGAAATGACTTCTAGAGCCACCTCGGTGTAAAACAGTTTTCGGCAGCTCAGCTTTCTCATGTGTGGCCATCAAAAAGTGGAATCAGTTGCCTACAGAGCTGACCACATGTGTAAATTTTAACACTTTTTCACATCGGACCAAAAAATGGCTTATTTTAAAACAAACATGTTCCCATAATGTATTGTAATTGATGTGTATTTGTAAATGAATTCCAAAGAATGAATGAAGGGTATATATATATATATATATATATATATATATATATATATATCATTTTGCAAGATGTAAACAACACTGGTCCAGAAACACTTCCTGTTTCAGTTTGCAACTGTTTTCTTTATTTGTTTTATGAGCTTTTATGTAGTGTTAAAAAACTGAAACAGGAAGTGCTTCTGGACCAGCGTTGTTAACATCTTGCAAAATGGTCTATATACAGTATATGGACCATCTGTTGACATCAGCCTGCTCAGGGACTACAGGTGGAAATTATAGTGCTACAACCTGGTAAAATGCATCTCTCCTTTTTAAGGTTAATGTATATTTTGCATTGTCCCTGTTCAAAAATAAATAAATGAAATGAAATGTCTGCCATTGGTTGGTCAAACAGATGGTCACATGATGTTTAGATCCTCTATTGGCCAAAAGTATATTTATATATATATTAGGGGTGTGCAAAGCAGCCGCTATTTGTATTTGTATTTGTATTTGTTCAGGGAGGAAAAGTATTTGTATTTGTATTTGTATTCGAGTAAAATTCAAAATAGGCATAAAAATCTTTAAAAATACTTAGTGTATGGATTCTTTAATTATATCCATTATAATAATTATGGATATGCAATATTGGTTGATTTTTTCTATAAATCCAGCAATGAACATGTAACAAGAAAAGTCATTGAAAAGAAAATAACAGTCAGCCATTACCTCATGAACCATGGTTAAACCAACAACTAATAAAATACAATTGTGAACATTATGAACCCCAACACCACGGTGGAGGACGCTGTGCAGACAGAATAAGTTATATGGATAATTTATAGTGAGGAGGTTGATTATGAGCCCGACGCGAAGCCTGAAGGGTTTTCGCTATAACTACGCCTCGCTCTACATTACCCCGCTTATTACATGGCTACCTACCAAATAAATCAATAATTTGACTCAAAATATGGATATAAAAAGGAGTTTATTGATTTAAAAAACGATTGTATCGCTCCCGCTAAAAAAAGAAAAATAGTCCGTTCTGTCTCTACGTTTAGAATCCATGGCAACGCTCTGTTTTTCATAGCAACGGTGTGTTATACTTATAAGCAGCGGCCTGTTATAATAACAGACCGCATTCTACATTGGAATTCAATCAAGCCATGAAACAAATAATTACCGTTACCGAGCTAACAGAGCTACGTAAACAGAGCGAACATGAAGCACCCGTCTGCAGACGTCAATAATGGAATATAGCCTACTCCCGATCAAACTCCGCTTCCCGAAAGTTATAAACTGCCACCGGAACATAGTTAAGGTACAAACATCTATTAAACAAAAATAGTGATGCAGTTAAGTGGTTTTTTTTTTCGCTCAGCCGAGCCCTCTCTGTTGCTGTGTGGAGCAGCCTGTGTCAGTCACCTCTTCCTGAACGTCACTCACTCAACTCGCGCATTGACTCAAGTCACTCAACTCGCGTCTCGTGAGGAACGCAGCTTTTTGATATAAAGTATTTCTTGTTCCCGAATACAAATATTTTTTTAAGTATTTGTTCGGAATAAGTATTCGTAAAAAACACATTATTTGTACCTTTCCGAATACCGTATTCGGATTCGGCTCCACCCCTAATATATATATATTTTTTTTTCTGTGAAAGAAATGTATCCTGAATGCAGTGGATTAAGACATATATGTGGAAGTCTCCTGGGCGGATTAGGGACTTGCATTTTAATCTCCGCTGGGTCCCAGAGATCTGTTTTGATTAAAAGAACAATGTTGGAAAAAGTCTAAATTCTGGAAAAGGTCTAAAAGAAAGGCCTAAAAGAAAGAAAAAAATAATTCTGATCATACCTGCAGCTAACACAAACACATATAGAAAATAGAAAAAAAAACCAGAGATAAAGATGGATAAAAAGATTTAAACCATCCTCAAAAGTCCCACGAGTCTGCCATGCAGCAATCATCACTAATAGCCTTAAATTCTTATGCCAGAGCCTCTCAAGTTTCTAGAGAATTACATTTATGAATTGTGAGATTCGATCATTTCCAAGATACTACATAAATAACCAGTGTTAAATCATCTCCTGCATATGTAAACACAAGGAGCTGATTGAATCAATTTAAAATATTGATTGTGTGTGGGTAGTGGAAAGCTCAGCAGATTTCAGAAAAAAGTCATTCACAAATTTCAACACATTTCTATGTTTGTTTAATACTTATCTTGGCTGATCAGATTAAGCTTTTACTTCAGCGACCAATGATATTTCAACATTGCATCTTTTTTATTTGCATTTTTTATTGACATTGATTTTATAGAACACAACAGGGAATTGTCCAAATTAACATCGACACAGCTCAACGAGTCAGAGGAACTTAGTCCAGCTACAGTCAAGCTTTTTTTTAAGTAGTCAAATAGAAAAAAACATAAAACCATTGTAAGGAATGAAAATGTTTATAGATTATAACATTTCTAATTTACTGTTGTACAATAACAATAAAAACCTAGAATATATTTGAAAACATTGTAACAAACAGCAGCATTTGGCTAAACATTTAGCTATAAAAGAAATGCTAAATGCTGCACAAGGTAAGTAAATCAGTGAATCCTTGTTGATTGAACCGATTAACTAAAACAAATCAGACTTACAAAATTACATATGAAAAAATGGATGATTTATATCCCTTAAAAGCAAAAACGATTACTGTCAAATTTTCTAATCGAACAGGACTTGATTTTGTCCATTTGAGAATTGTTTGGATTTTTGGATGGTTGTGGTTTGCTGTGATTGAATAAAAGAGGATGATTTAAAGCCCATTCAAAACAAGGATGATAACGGTAACTATAAAGTTGAATTAACATTCCAATTCTATTATAATAGAGAAGTCCACAAGAACGTTATCTTTGTCTTTCATCTGAATTTTTTTTTTTCAGCTGATGAACCAATCACAATTCAATCAGACTTTAAAGGGATCGTTCACTTTGAAATTAACTTTTGGTATGTTTTAGCTTACCTCAAGGGCATCCAAGGTCTAGGTGTCTTTGTTTCCGAAGTAGTTTCAATTTTGATATTTTTAGGTCAAACCGTTCTTGTCTGTCAGTCATATAATGCAGGTCTATGGTCACCACCTTAAAGAGCATGCACAGAGAAGTCCAAATTAAACATGATTTAATGACTCGTAAACGTAAGTACACATTGATGGCCTAAGACACGAAACGAGCGGTTTGTGTGAGAAAACGAACAGTATTTATATTGTTTTCACCTCTTGTAACCACAGCCACATCTAAGTGATCTGATGGCGCGGGTGTTTCGGTCTGCGCAAGTGCTGGAAATTATCTTAATATGGTTGTGGAAAAAATTCAACGTTGTCTGTTGATATATCGAAATCATCTTCCATTGCGATTTCATGTATATCTAAATATGTTTAGATCTTCACAGTGAAAGGTAACACTTCCGAAATCTCTGTATAAATAATGAGTGACGTACATGCCCGAGAGATCACTTCCGGCACTTGCGCAGATGCTCCCGCTATAAAAAATAGTGCTGGTTATTAGTATATAGTTAATAATGTACTTTGACTTTTTATATTCTTTTTATATTTTTGACCTTTCTTCATATTTAGGCCTGAAACATACTTTAACTAAATAGAAAGCTTGCATAATATAACACTAGGCCTGGTATCACAGACAGGGCTTAGATTAAGCCAGGATTTAGCCTTAGTTCAATTAGGATATTTAAACATGCCTTAGAAAAAAGAATATATATATATATTACTAGTGTGAATCTTGAGACAAAACAAGGGCACTGGAATATTTAAAAATATATCAGTCCAAGTTGCTTTCAGTTAAAATGGCTCAAACTGAGAAAGGGCTAATGTTTCAATCTCAAGACTTCATTCTTTCTCTTCCTCCATCTGTCTTTCAGGTTTGTTTTGTAACACTTCGATTGATGGTATTGGGACATGCTGGCCCAGGAGCAGTGCTGGAGAAGTGGTGTCCCGCCCCTGTCCGGAGACTTTCCTCGGGGTCCGATACAACACCACCAGTAAGTGCCAAGCATCTCACATTGAATCACTCTTTCATGCTAGTCCCATCTGGACAGCTCCATCTGCTCTTGTTTGCGACAGCACAAGCAGACAGTTTATATATCTGTTTTATAGAAGACCTAGTCACTCGACTCATATATTCTTGCATCTCTTGTCAAGTTGACGTTGAAGGATCTTCAAACAATGGCAGGTCTTTTGGGATACATCTGCGCCTGTGACTTCTGGAAGTAATGTTTTGATTGAATGTATATATCTGGCACTGCTTGTTAGGAACAGCAGCAGTCTGAGAATCGTAACCGAGCAGACAGCTAGGAGCTACAGTACATTACAAGCTTTTAAATTCATGTCTGAGTGTGTGTGGGAAAGAAAGAGGGAGTGTATGCACATCTTCCAAATTGGGCTGTGTGTGTTAGGCTGCATGTAGGTCATTTTTTTTTATTCTTGCATGCTACCATGTAATGTTTTACCATTGCTAACAAGCTCACTAATTGTTCTGCCAATGTGAGTGTACCAACCATATCTCTGCCAATTTGAGTGTACCGACCATATCTTCTTTGGTGAATGTGTGTGTGTGCGCACTGTAATGAGAGAGACACACTGCTGTGACAAAATTGTAAGAGTATCTCTTAAAGACCAGTTCTAAACGCTCCGTGGGCAGAGGTGTAGCTTTCTTTCTTTCTTTCTTTCTTTCTTTCTTTCTTTCTTTCTTTCTTTCTTTCTTTCTTCCTTCCTTCCTTCCTTCCCTCCTTCCTTCCCTCCTTCCTTCCTTCCTTCCTTCCTTCCTTCCTTCCTTCCTTCCTTCCTTTCTTTCCTTCCTTCCTTCCTTCCTTCCTTCCTTCCTCCTTCCTTCCTTCCTTCCTTCCTTCCTTCCTTCTTTCTTTCCTTCCTTCCTTCCTTCCTTCCTTCCTTCCTTTCTTTCTTTCTTTCCTTCCTTCCCTCCTCCTTCCTTCCTTCCTTCCTTCTTTCTTTCTTTCTTTCTTTCTTTCTTTCTTTCTTTCTTTCTTTCTTTCTTTCTTTCTTCCTTCCCTCCTTCCTTCCCTCCTTCCTTCCCTCCTTCCTTCCTTCCTTCCTTCCTTCCTTCTTTCCTTCCTTCCTTCCTTCCTTCCTTCCTTCCTTCCTTCCTCCTTCCTTCCTTCCTTCCTTCCTTCTTTCTTTCTTTCTTTCTTCCTTCCTTCCTTCCTTCCTTCCTTCCTTCCTTCCTTCCTTCCTTTCTTTCTTTCCTTCCTTCCTCCTTCCTTCCTTCCTTCTTTCTTTCTTTCTTTCTTTCTTTCTTTCCTTCCTTCCTTTCTTTCCTTCCTTCCTTCCTTCCTTCCTTCCTTCCTTCCTTCCTCCTTCCTTCCTTCCTTCAGCCTGCTTTTCTTTTTTGTCTTTCTCTGTGCTTTCTTACCTTTTTAATTTGTTCCTACCTTCACATCTTTCAAACAATTATCATATTGATTTTTGTTTTCTTTGGTGTTGTTAATTCAGTTTGGTTTACCACTATCAAACAAACCCTGTGGGTAAAGATTCAAAAGCTTCACTCTTAGAAAAAAGGGTTCATTGGTGTTCTATATATGAAGCATAGGGTTCTTCACTCAACTCCAAAGAACCTTTTATGCTAAAACAGGTTCTATAATGACAAGAAAGAACCCTTTTGGCACAAAGGTTCTTTATAGGCTATTATTCATTCATATATATATATATATATATATATATATATATATATACATTATTCTGCAATATTTATAGTCGTAATTAAATTATTGCTTATTAAACTGTTGTAGTAACTTAAAGGAGAACTCCTAAGTAAGTAACTCAATAAGTCGATCCCCGAACATACAGTTCAGAAGTTCACTGAACTTCATACAGTTCAGATCAAGTCACTTATCGAGACTATTTTCTAAGATGGCTCCTGTCTGTATACGCGAAGTGAACTGTCTTCATAAAGTATCTTTTTATTAAACGATCTGTACACTTACAAAGTTCTCACTGCTTCATTTGCATGTATGGACCCTCATTGTGTTACTGTGTTAGTGTGGGGCTATTTTGAGCCTTGTTTGTGGTATAAACTAGCGATTTCTTTTTACTTAGTCAATGTCCCCATTGCTAGCATTATGCGTAGCATTATAAAGCTCTTTACATTCGATTATCATGAAAACAAATCGATTGACTAGGTACCGATGTTTTATTAGACCAAAGGTTCATTGTTCGCCGGAGTTCTCCTTTAAAATCACATTTTAATCATGCTGATATTTGGAGGAGAAAAACTGAAATGGCACTCTTCGTGTGATATTGATTAACTACATAAAATGATATAAATATAGACATTTTCAAACCCTCATATCTGGAATTTTGTGATCATTCACATGCATTCATAAATACATTTTAGGTCTTTGTTTGTCAATAATATGAAATAGGACAAAACAAATGATAATTAATTAAATTCAAAAGGTGCCATATAGAAGATTTTTCCTGGTTACAAAAAACCTTAAAGGGTTCTTATTATTCGGTGTAAAACCTATTAGGGGTTCCAAATACGTAGCGCTGATAGAACCTTTTAAGGTTCTAGAACCTTTTCTTCTAAGAGTGTTGCATGTCTCTTAACTCTGGTGTTAAAAATGGCAGATGAGATGGGTTTAAACTTTTTAAACATTAAACTTGAATGTAATCTTAATTATAAATGTAACTAAAACTTAATTAACAAACAAATATCTTCACCTAATCACAAGTACCACATAATCTTTCTTGTGGTAACATCTTCCAATTTACAAAACGTTTTGAGAGCAAATAAGCACAACAATATGCATCACCACAATAAGTGTGAGTTGATCTGCAGTGCACTGCAATACACGTATTTGCACAATCCACTGACAACAGTGTCCAGACTAGGAAATCTGAAGTGGAGGAGAAACTCAGAGAGTAAAGATGAAATATTAATTATTAAATATTGGGCCAGTGGACATAGTGAACTCAATGATTAAAGGGTTTGATCGCCCAAAAAAGAAAATTATACCATGATTTCCTCACTTTCAAGCCATAGGTGTACATGTCTTTCTTCTTTCTACACAATCAGAGTTTTATTAAAAAGTATTCTGGCTGTTCCAAGCTTTATAATGGGAGTGAATGGTACCCTAGAATTTGAAACCCCCCAATCACACCCATCCATCATAAAAGTAATCCACACAGCTCCAGGGTGTTAATAAAAGCCTTCTAAGGTGAATTAGTGTATTTCTGTATTTATAACTTTTTAAACTGTAATCACTAGCTTCCGTTAACATATGGATTACTTTTATGATGGATTGATGCACTTAAAAAAGGCTACCATTCACTTCCATTATAAAGCTTGGAAGAACCAGGATAGTTTTTAATATAACTCCGACTGCCACTGAATTGCATAATGCACTAAAGAATGGCCTCTCATAGATGCTGGTTTAGTTGATTAGTGTATATTAAGATTCACTGGAGCTGATAGTATGATTTATTTATTAATTTATTTTAAGTCCTGTTGGAAGCAGTGTAATAGGGCTTTGGGCACATCAGGAACATATACAATATTCACAGTGCACTGCACAAAGACTGTGCTCTTATATCGGATTTTCTCTGTTTTTTTATACCCCAGTGGGATCTGTGTATTTAAATGAGAGAAAGAAAAAAGATTGGAAGATTTTATACCTTTATGTGTGCATGCTTTTTTGTTGGATTTATTTTTTATTTATTATTATTATTCATGTTGGTATAATTAAAAGGTTTAATTGTTTTTTAATTGACTTCATAAACAAAAGTACTACTGTGTTTCAACACGTTACGGTGATCTTATTGGTTAATCAACAAACCTTTAGAGGTTTTTTTTACTATGTCTGTTTGTAAAGTATCAACCGCATAAAGCATAATGATTTAAATTAATTTATAATGAATTTTCATTACAGTGATGCCCGTTTATTGCCTCTATTGATCACCATATGCAGAGAGTGTTACTCTTTTCAGCATTTGCAGTTTGTCGACACAGAACAGGACAGACTGCAGGGGAGATGATCCAATCAATGAGTTTGTGGAAATGAGGCCTGACAGAGAGGTTAAAGTGGTGGGCATTAGTGAAATCAATAGCAAACATTGCAAGATCTTTTTTTTAATCAATGGAAAATGCTACCGTGCTGAAATGTACAGTCATCGCATTACACAATTTTCTTGCATTACCCAAACAAACTGACAAAAAATCCATAATGATTGTAATATCTAATGATACCGCCATCAGGGTTTGTGTTAATTCTGGCAATAGAGTATACTGTCAGTACTGTAAATGACTCTGTTAGAATAGTTAGAAATGTACTTGCCCATCTTTCTGACCTCTATCAGTCTAAAGTCATTATTTATTAAAATCGATCGTGTTCTTTAATGGGACATTGCTAATTATCTCTCTCTCTTTCTCTCTCTCTCACACACACACACACACACACACTTTGAATGTATATGATAAACATATAGTGTAATATAAATAAGTTTGGTTATTTAGATATTGAGACACACACAACTTACCCTTAGGGTTAGTTATGTAACCCCGGATTCCTGAGAAAGGAACAATTTTAATTTGACAACAGGGCTTGACACCATGTAAGGTTCATCACATCTAGTAGTGTTGGAGGACATGTGTGTGGGAAAATATACAGTCTCAGTAAAGTGAGAAAATAAGAAAAACAGGCTGAGAAAATGGTTAGTCAGATTTTGAAAAGTATACTTTTTATAATATTGAAATTACTTGCCATTACTTAGATCGCGGACAGTAAAATACCATTTTGAATTTGAAGACAAAAAAAAATTCCAGCATTTTGGCAATTTCACACATGTAATTATGTTAATTAAATATGGAGCTAGACAACAGATGTTGTCTATTATGTAGTACATAGAGTTCAATTAATGGGTCAGAAACTACACAGCCTGCTCAATGCTACACATCTGCTGATAAAAACATGAATCAATATCATTTTAAAACTTTAATGCTATACAGTAACTAAAAGACGATCAT